GGGGTCGAAATTTACTTTAACTACAGTATATTATGCTCCTACGATCACCTTTCTGAAACAGTTACCTGTACAAACGACCGCTACCCACTTCCCCGTTGTGTTCTTTTTCTACATTACAATAACACTGTGCAAGACGTCGATCTTTTAAGAAATGGTCGTCTTTGACAATTTCAACTTCCTAGGGGCCTATATTTTATCCCCCGAGCGATAAGCCATCACGTCATCTACCCCATTAAGTCATCCACACCCAAACGTCCTTGTGTTGGGTGGTGGTGGTGGGGAGGGGGGAGGGGGGAGGGCGGAGCCAACTGTCCAAGACAACCACTTTTTCACAACAGGTGGCCGTCTTGCGCAATTTTAGCTTCATGTAGGCCACTGTAGTATCCTCAGAGCCATCGGTCACCTTGCCTTTAGCCCTGTCCATTTAGTCGCACACAAACTTCTCTGTATTGAGAGGTTTTGAGGGGAGGGGGGTGAGGATCCGTCTAATACAACCACTTTTTGGTCCTTTAGAATGGGTAGCCTTTTTGAACAATTTCGATTACATATTTTCCTCCTCAGAGCGACAGGCCGTCACGTCATCTACCCCGTCCAGTCAGCCACACACGAACGTCCTTGTGATGACGCGCCGACTTCTGCCGTCTCTGTTCCTGTCCCGGCCCGACCCCCTGGAGAGTTGGACGATGTTGCAGACAGTGGCTGGCCTCTTGTGCCAGTGCCGCGGACGAAGTTGCCGAGTATAGGGTATACATAATATATATATAAATAGGTGTGACATTCTGGTGAAATCAGGAGCTTATCAAAATAATAAAATCGAAGAAGCTGACATTTTCCCGCCTGTTAAGCTACTTTTATAGACTATTTTGGCTCAACACCGCATATGCTAGTCTTAGAACACATTTATGTGTGGATTTTACTGCAAAACGGTACTCGAATGTCAAAAAACAAAATATAAAAAGCAAAAAAAGCAAAAGAATTCAGTTTCCGATGACTCTCAATCTATAAAAGTCACCAAATTTTGGCGCTCATTTTCTTGTTAATTTTACCTCTTACATCAGGCGGATCAGTTGCAAATATCTCAATACTTCCATTCAAGATAGATGCGTATTTTTCATTAAGAGCAAGGCACATGAACGCGCTTCAAGATTGTACCAAAAAGTCCATATGCTCCAAAATAGACGAGCACCTGATTCCACTGTGTCGTGACATGTTATGATGTGTCTCATTTTCTTTGCTGTTCCAATGGGTGTATTAATATAATTAATGTATGTTTTGAAAAAGTCCTCATGTAGTTGAACTGGTTTTCTTGTCTATATGGTGTTGTTGTTTTTTTCTTGTGTATATGAGGTTTTGTTGTCAGTAGTCATGTCATCGACATTGTATTCCTCTCAGCTCGGGTTGGTCCTGACAGGCAGTGTCAGATGTCCGCCTTCTAAATGATTTAAGTTTTGTCGACTGGGGCGTAAAAACACTTACATTAATAAGAAATATATTTAACCTGGTTTTTCGAAATATTTTATCTGCTTTTATTGCAGATTTTAACTACTTTGAGTCATTTCTGCTTGTTTTGTCTGTTGCAGCAGTGAGCATGCTGTTCTGTTCAGCTTTGCCTACTCTGCAGAAGAGTTGTTCGTACAGCCGGCTCAGTTGGAGGATCTGGTGTACCAGGTGGATGAAGTTCTCAATCGTGCGTACCTGGTGAGTGGCTTCTTGCTTATGCTGGACACTCTCTCTCCTTCTCTCTCCGTATCCTTCTCCCCCCTCTCTCTCTCTCTCTCTCTCTCTCTCTCTCTCTCTCTCTCTCTCCCTCCCTCTCTCTCTTTCTCTCTCTTAAAAGTACACTGTTCGATATCGCTATAAAGTCTGTGTCTGGTGTACCAAGAGGATGTGTTTCTCATTTTCCAGTGGCTAAGTGAGTAGTGCGAGTTAAAACTCAAGAGTAAGTCGAGCAAGTATGATGACACGGGGATCAGATTATTGGTCCCTGGGGTGTGTCCTTGAGAAACACATGACAACCCTAGATAAAAAAAAAAGCCAGGACGCTGCACAGTGGCGCCCAGCAATGGCATAGTTGTGAAATTGTTCTGTATTGGTGTAATTCTTTATTTATATACGTATATGAGTACGTATTTATGTAATACGTTTGCATTTATGATTACGTATTTATGTATGTATGTAAGTTTGCCATTGTAGACCAAATTGCCCCTCTGGGATCAATAAAAAATGTAATTTAAAAAACCGTACCAGTGTGGTGAATGCGCAAGCATTTTGAAGAGGATTAAACAGTTAGTAGGCCTACCATACATTGAAGATGGTCAAAGTGGAAATTGCATAAAATCTGCACGTTTACTGAAAGAGAGAAAGCGTGTATGTATGTGTATGTGTGTGTGTGTGTGTGTGTGTGTGTGTGTGTGTGTATGTGTGTGTGTGCGTGCGTGTGTGTGTGTGTCTGTCTGTGTCTGTATGCGGGAGGGCGGGGGTAGGAGGAAGATATCAGAGGGGAAGAGAAAGTTTGGGGGGGGGGGGGAGGGGGGATTTATGAATGTTTTCCCTGTTCCATATCCAGTTTTGACAGTAGGTTTATTCTTTTGCGGTTTCATTTTAAAAAAATTTGTCCATGCAGAAACCTTTAGACACAAAGAACATCAAAACAGGTTGTCTGATAGCAGCGGAATATGAGAAATTCTGGTACAGAGCCAAAGTGGAAGATCGAGGAAAAGATAAGGTGAGTGCTCACATCTGTTTTTTCTCTACTTGGAACGGGCCATTTTTCGGGAAGAGGGGGTTGATGGGTGTGTGTTTGCAGAAGTTAGACTATTGTGTATCGTTACGCTTGGCAGTTGCATTGTACCTTATTCCTTTCATAATTATTTCGTGGATGGTTGGCGGGTGCTCTGTTGTGGTTTGCTCCTCTGTTTTTTGTATCAAGACATCTATCGTCCTTATCGCCCCTCCTTTTTTGTTATTCTGCCTATTAGTGTTACTATCACTATTGTTATTATGATGGTGAAGCTGCTGCTGCTGCTGCTGCTGCTGCTGCTGCTGCTGCTGCTGCTGCTGCTGCTGCTGCTGCTGCTGCTGCTGCTGCTGCTGATGATAATGATGATGATGATGATGATGATGATGATGATGATGATGATGATGATGATGATGATGATGACGATGATTTATTATTATTATTGTTATTATTATTGTTATTGTTATTATTATTATTATTATTATTATTATTATTATTATTATTATTATTATTATTATTATTATTATTATTATTATTATTATTATTATTATTATTATTATTTCAGGTTCAAGTCTACTTCATCGACTATGGCAATAGAGAGCAGGTACCTCTAGCTTCGGTCAGGGAAATCCCGAATGAAACATTGGCGCTGAGGACAGAGCCACTGGCTTGGAGATGTGCACTGAGGAAGCCAAAGGTATTGGTTATGCTTCTGGTGTGTTGTTTGATTCCATCTTTCTTTCATTCAAGTATTGTATGTATATTATTAGCCTTTCTGTCTCTGTCTACTTGTCTCCCTAGTTTATCTTTCTATGCTTGGTAAGTTAAAGCCCCTTCCCCCCTCTCTCTCTCTTTCGCTCTCTTTCTCTCTCTCTCTCTCTCTCTCTCTCTCTCTCTCTCTCTCTCTCTCTATTTCTCTCTCTCTCTCTGTAACACGGTGTTTCTGTCTTCTTCTTCCTTTTTGTTCTGGTCTTTCTCGCTTTTCTCTTCACAAAAGGCAGATTTATACTGTAACGTAGTTGTTCTTTTTGAGTTACAGGTTTTTAAATTTTCATTCTACTGGCAAGTGGTTGTTTGATGGTTCGAAAGGTGCCACATTGTCTTTGGTCTGCTTCTGACTGGACCTACCTCGTATATGTGCGTTGTCTAAGTCTTTAAAAATGTTAACATTCTGCACCCCTTCCCCAGGATCTTCAAAGCTCATGGCTCCCAAATGCACACATCATTCTGAGTGAGATCACAAAATCAAGAACCTTACTGGCAAAAGTACTTGACCGTTGTGGTAAGACTTGTTATTCACCTGGAATTTCATTCAGGCCTGGAAGACATCTGTGAATCAAGGTCCGTAATGCTTATAAAGCAAACATGTTTAAAGGTTGAGGAATGGAGAATAGATAAAATAGATGCTAAAATGGTTCTTTTTTTTTTCTTTCTCGGTAACATAATGTACCTTATCTGTGTCTATCCATATCAATTATGCCTTGGATCATTAAAGCATGAATTCTTAGGACACACAAGAAAGAAGTAAGGAGTTATAAAATTCAATTATTATTATTATGTAAAAGATTGCTCTGTCACAACACAGACTTTGCATTTGAGCTTTCAGAGATATTTGGGGAGAGGGGGAGAAGGCATTTACTTTTTTTAAATTAGCCTTTATTTTTATATAAACCTTTGTTTCACTATTAATGAAAGAAAGGAGGATTATTCCTGTATCATAGTTTTGGTTTTTTTTTCAGGTGAGTGTTGTATGGTGGACCTTGTTCTACCAGATGGCCAATTGGTGAACTCAGTGCTGGTCAAATCTGACACTGATCCGTCGGTCACCTCTTCACAATCAGCATCATCTGCTCTCGAGCCGTCTACACAACAACAGAAGATACCCATGAATGAGTCCATGGATGCCCAAACTGCCACTGCCTCTACTCAAACAGCAACCCCTGCCTGTCAGACACTTAAGAAGAAGGAATCTGGAAGGGCTCGGAAGTTAAGCAACTCCTCTTTTTTAGGGTCAAGACGTAGCTGCCTCAAGACATCCCCGTTTTCTGAGAGCAAAAGAAAGTTCTTTGTGGATGACCCAGGTAAGATCCGGATTTCTGTACATAGAATGGGATAGCGTGTTTGTGTTTAAACATCCATTAGCTCAATAAAAAATGTTCTCACGAAGTTAAAAGTCCTGACTTATCTTTTTTTTAAAACATATTTTTTAAATATGCATTAGGGATCCCGCTATGCTATCAATCGAGGCTCGTGTTCTACCAGTATTTTGTCATAATATATATTTACAGTGGAATAAAAGAAGAAACAATTTGATGTCAGCGCATTTTTTGACACGTAGCCAGCCTATACAGATCTACATCTACACTTTTGCTCCTGCTATTTTCCCCCTCACCTCAGACCCGCTGGAGGTTCCAGAAGATGAAGTGTTTGCTGTGTCTGTGTGCAACGTTCTTTCAGAGTCGTCTCTTCTTGTGAGCGCCATTGGGGCAGAGTACTCGGTATGTAGATGTGTTCATGTATTCTGAAAGCAGCTTCAAGAAGTCCCTTTTGCTTCAATACTCAAGTTTTTTGTTTGTTTGTCTGTTTTTGTTTGTTTATGTGTGTGTGTGTGTGTGTGTGTGTGTGTGTGTGTGTGTGTGTGTGTGTGTGTGTGTGTGTGTGTGTTTTACTGTAGGTGTTTCCCACCCCCTCCCCATTTGACACAATTTAGGTTATGTAGGGGGCGGACGTTCGATTCTGCCTGTCAGGGCCTGCCCGGGATGAGAGGGGTACAACATCCCAGTAAAAAGCCCGATAAACTCGATAAACGTTTTCTCCCCACTCGGGATTTGGACTCCAGTCTCCGTGTGCAATTACAAAGTGCCGAACTTCTGCGCCGTCAAGTTCTGAGTTGTGTTAAAGAGTCTTCAGAGCAAAACTAGTCGGTTAGTGGACAACCTTTCTAGTGTTTGTGGGAGTCAAAATGTTAGTCTGACTTCCAGCAAAAGTTTTCAAGGTCTCTCAAAAAGGAAAGTTTCACCTGGTCCTTTCTCTTTATTCCACAACTATTTTGTTCTCTTTCCCCATTTATTGTTTGCATAATGTGACCCAGTAGACTTTACAGTATTGTGAAACAACTGCTCAGCCTGATTCTTTCTTTTACAGGACAAGTTGGATGAGCTGGAGGAATTGATTTGCGAAAACTTTGAGAGCTGGCCAGTACCAACAAAGATCAAGAAAACAAATGTTTATGCTTGTGTCTTCACGGGAGAGGGGAATTATGTGTTTGACAAAGCTGAAAAAGAAGAGGAGATGACAAAATATTGCAGAGCCAGAGTCATGGGAGACTATAAAGAGGTAAGCGGGTTTTTGTTTTTTTTCGATTATAGGCTTTCGGTTCTTTTCATGAGCTAGTGTAAATTGAAGGTGTCTTTGTCAATTCAATTTTGTTCCCTCTTCTGAAACTCTGGGCGCCCTTAATTTCATAGCAGAAAGAATCAGTTCCCCTTTATGTTTTGTCTTTATTATTTAAACTTGATTAAATATTTATCTCCATTGCTACGTAAAACTGACTTACTGGGAGCTGCAGTGTAATAGTATAAAACAATTCATCTAAAATAAGCTATACGTTGAACAGTGGTCGGAGAGCATATGATTTTTTTGGGTCCTGTTTTTTTTTTTAGATCAGTATCCAGCTTGTTCTGGTGCCAAAAATTAGAAAAAGCAAATATTAAGCTCCAAATTAATGGTAACTGCTAACAGCACATTTTGGGTGGAAATTCCCTCTTGGAATCTTAGAAAAAAATATATGAAAGAAAACATCATATTTGTTTCTGTTTGGGATGATTATGTTGACAGCGTAGTTTATCATTCTTAAAATCGATGATGTTGATGACTAATCTGATGATAAAGGGGACAAGGATTATCATCAATTGTTTTCTTTTTGTTGCACTGTTAATGTTCTAACTTTTTTCTTATAGTGCGGTCTAAAATTCGTGGCGCAACTTATCCTCAAATATCATTATAACGGGTGAATCAATGTCACCCATATTTTGCACAGCAATTTGTCTCAAATTGTCTTAACTTAATCATATTTTCCCCCAACATTTGGGGCTAGAATAAAAAAACATTTCTTCATAAATACATATAAAATGCTACAAACCTCTTTCACGCGGAAAATAGAATTGTTCACAGCACTTCCCGCTTCTCACACACATTTTGTATACGCATATGGGTTTCGTCACAGTTCATCAATGATACTTTTTTGTTGCAAAACTTGTTACAAGAAATACATTTTATAGTGAACGCATTTTTCGCTCTAAAAGTTCTCAAACCATGCATCTAATAAAGATAATCTTGCGATGAGAAAAAAATGACGGACTTGCTTTTAAAAGCGATATTCTCCCAGCTGTAAACCTTATAAAATCTGTAGAAATCACCCATTAAGATTTTTTACGAGTATTTATTAAGGAATTTTCTAGAACAGAGGTGACAGGTGTTTACAAAAATATTGATCTGTTAAGACATACTGATACAAGTCACTGTGCAAAAAGCTGGAGAGTTTGTGTTGGATAGTTGAGGAGATTTTGACAATAAGTTGCACCATGAAATTTTGACCGCACCATAGTTCCTTATTTTGCGACTGTTGAAGTTTTCATTTTTCCTCATGCTTAGTTGGTAACCATGGTGTGTAGCTCATACTGAGATGACGGACTGTGTTTGGTGTAGTGTTACTGTTTGTTCTATTCTGTTGCTTTCCCCAGAAGGCTGCGTTTGTCTACCTACCGGACCACGGCCGACAGACAGTTGTTCATCACGATCAGTTGCGAGAGATTGACCCAAAACTCAACTCTTCACTCCCTTACCAGGTAGGACACACAAAGGTTCTTTTCTGTGTGTGTTTTGTTTGTTTTTGTTTTATTTGGCCGGGTATACCAGTCACTTTTCGTGATTGGGATCAGAGGTAACAGCCAAGATTCCCATCTCAATTGTTATAGTTTTGGATTAGGGCTCAGTGAAGAAAATTCCAACCGTTGATAAATTCCATCTTAAGATCTTATAGTATTCAAACCACCAGGCTAAATAACAATATACCAATAATGAGCACATAACTTAGTGAACATTATTTGAAAACCCCATTGGCAAAATAATTTAGATCCTTTAAGCCGTGTGCTTTTTCCGATTTCTTGAGCATTTAGTTGTAGGTCCATTTCGTTGTACTTGTAATAATTTTTGCAGCATTTGTACAAAATTGTTCCTGGGTGGAGATTGCAGGATCAGTGTACATCCTTGGCTCTTGTGTAAATGCTGGATACAAACGGATGGATAAAGTAGTTTGAGGTTTTGTTGTTGTTATTGTTTTTGTTTTTTCTTCATTTATACCCTGAGCTATTATTATTATTAGCGTGCTGTGTTTTACAAGTAAATAAGAAGTTGTTGAACGTTGCCTACCCCCGCCATTTTCCTTTCCGCCCCAACTTTTCATTATTTTGAGTCTCTCCAAGATTGTAAGACACATGATGCGAATTTCAGTTATTAAAGAGTCAATGAAAGATAGAGTAATACTGCAAATTCACTCAATACCAAATTGCCTGCCTCCATGAGCGCAAATCGGAAGTCATTTATCCTTTTTGTTGTTTTTTCAGTTTTAAAAAAAACAAAAAAACTTCTCCTTGATTTGTCTTCTAAGTAAGCTATCTACTCTTTCTATTTACTTTATACATGAAACCTGACGTCTCCACAGAGCTAAGTCATAATTTGTGTCACGACAAAAAGGAATCATGCACTCGTCAAGTTAATGTTTGGGCATAAGGGGTTAAAGGTATAATCTTATATCTTGTTTATTTGTCTTGCTTTTGATGAAACAATACATAATCTATCATTCTTAAATAGAAGACGAGATATTTGACTCTATACGGGGAAAGGATTCCAGTCCAGGACCGTGCTCGTTTCCTCGGCGTCATTTTCGACAAAAAACTCACATTCATACCACACATCAAAGACCTTCATGTGAGGTGCCAGAAAGCGCTCAACGCTTTGAAAATTCTATCGCATCCGGAGTGGGGCGGGGACTCAAAACACCTTCTCCACTTGTACATCTCCCTTGTCCGGTCCAGGTTGACTACGGCTGTCAAGTCTATGGATCGGCAAAACCACATATCTTAAAATTAATGCTAGACCCAATACAAAACCAAGGACTCCGCCTCGCTCTGGGGGCTTTCCGTATTTCTCCGGTGGAGAGCCTCCAAGTCGAGGCCAACATACCACCACTCTCACTCAGACGCACACAACTCTCACTACAAAACGCAGTTAAACAGAGCTCAACACTAGGGCTGGGCAATCAGTCGCTGTAGCAAAATCCGGATACTATGTCAGTGCACCTCTTCGGCAAATAATATGATAATATGAACCGCTTCGGCAAATGGGTTAGAACCACTTTGACAAACGGGTTAGCATTACTTCAACAAATGGGTGCACCCACTTCGGCAAACGGGTCAGGAAAGAGAGTTACAAATCTGAATTCGTATAATATTTCATTGAGAATTATCCGGTTGTCCTTGTAGATTATCCGGATTTTGCCCCCCCCCCCCCCCCTTCTACTCAACACCGGAAAATCCAGCGCACGACTGCATTTTTAAAACAAACCCAGAAACCATAAACAAATTCCAAAATAACGAAAAGCTCATCAAACCCTTCGGCCTCAGAATCCTTGAGGACCTCAAAAACTTACACTTTTCCAAACTAGATATCCAACAAATTCTTTTCCCCGACCTCCCTCCGTGGCACCTCACCAAGGCAAAAGTAGATTTACAGTTGACCACACACAACAGAGAAAGCACACACACCAAGACCTTTAAAGCAGAATACAAAAAACTAATAGATAAATACCCCGGTGCAGAGCTCATCTTCACGGATGGCTCCAAAAAAGACAATGAAGTGGGCGCCGCAGCCCTATCTCCCAACAGTACACACCAGAGGAGACTCCATCCTGAAGCCTCCATTTTCTCTGCGGAGGCCACTGCCATGGACATGGCACTGGACTCCGTAGAAAATTCTCCAAACAAATCTTTCCTAATCCTTTCTGACTCTCTGTCTTGCATCACCTCACTCACAAACTACACACTCTTACACCCAAAAAATAGTTAGGCTACAACAGAAAATTCATTCACTATCCGAAACAGGAAAAAAATCATGTTCGCATGGATACCTAGCCATGTGGGCATCCGAGGAAACGAGCAGGTAGACGACCTGGCGAAGAAAGCTTCATCCCTTCTGATGGGATCAACGACAAACACTCTCCCACAGACTGACTTTAGAAATAAAGTAAAAAAGGACACCTCCAGTCTGTGGGAGAGCCTCTGGGAAAAGCAGAAAAACAATAAACTATATGAAATAAAACCCAAACTAGAACAGCGAAATCCTTCGGACCTCTCCAGAAGAGACGAAGTCATTTTTACTCGATTGCGCTTCGGACACACGGCCCTGACCCACAAATACCTCCTACAGGGAGATGAGAAGCCGTTCTGTGTCCGATGCGACACAGATTTTACCTTTAGACACATCTTAACCGAATGTCTAGACTTTGGAGAGATCCGAAGGAAATATTATAAATGCAAGAACTTGCAAGACATTTTTTACGTCGTTGTTCCCAGCAGAATATTGAACTTTATGAAGGCCTTTGGCCTTTATGGCAAATTGTAAAGTGACATCGTACTACTTAAATTCTTATTGTTAATTATAAGAGTTGTTTTAAATTGAAAATATATTTACACCGAATTTTAATATTTTAAGCATTTTAAAGTCTAATAGTTAACCAATCGTGCAGTAAACTTTTGCGAAAGTAAACAACTTGTGTTTCGCGCACTCATATGACCTTACGCAGTTGCGAGCGCCATAAAATCCTATACTACTACGAGATATTTGAGGCTGAAGGAGGTGGGGGGGGGGGGGGGGTGTCACGTATGGTGTCAGACGTACAATTAGCGAAAAAATGGCGCCAAAGTTCGATGACTTCCAAAGTTTAAACGTCCTTTGAAATTTACATCTTTTTCATGCTCTTGATCAACGTTTTCCAGTAAAATCTACACAGAAATGTGTTTTAAAGTGGATATGAAAGGCGTTGAGCCAAAATTAATAGATAAATATTGCCCTATGGGCGGGAAAATATCGGTTTCTGGGGTTTCATTATTTGATGAGTGCATGATCTCACCACGGTGCCACACATTAATTTGTCTTGTACGTCACTGTTCTCTTACCTACCAGGCCATCCCGGTGAACCTTTTAGGCCTGAACGACATGCCAGATGGTCACCGCACAGCAGTCAAGGAGGTCCTGATTGGGCTCACTCTGACTGAGCCCACCGTCTTCATGGCGGTCAGGAAAAACACGAAGATCCAAGACCTCACCAGGTCTCCGTCGTCTGTTGATGAGCTGCTCGTCACACGTGTTCGGAAGGTAAGTTCTGTAGCGTCAGTACATTTGGTAGGTTGTCAAGTTGGCAACGGTAAAGCTATGGGTTTGAGTCTTATATTTATTAATAAATTCATTTTTCGTGAGGATGTTTTTGCGCCCATCGATATAATGTAGATAACTTGGGAGGCTGCTTGTTAATGACAAACTGAGCTGAGATGGGAAACATCAGAAAGACCGAGATACTCTATAAAATTTTTCCACACAAGGGAATCAAATTCAAGTCTTTTGCGTCCGAGGGCAAAGCGCCTGACTGCTGTACCACAAGCGCCTGTGTTTGAGTCAGCTTGGTTGGGCCCAGCGCTGTCCTATTGTCCTCAGGAAATACATCTTATAGAAATTTGTGCTTCTTGGGATAAATGGGTACCCTGCTGAAACAGTGAATTGTCTCAAAACATGTGTAAAATTAAAAGAGGAAGTAGGTGGCTGGGGGCTTACTTAGAAGACAGGCCAGGGTGCCGTTTTAAATGTCTCCAAAACAATTTATGGCTTACTAATTGTGCATCCGAAGACAGTTTTGGTAACGGAATCTAAAGTATTAGTATATTTGCATTTACTTTTTTATGTATCTTACATTGAAATCGCATATCTTATAATTTAAATCTAGTATTATAAAGCAGAGTAAGGAGTGAGTTTGTGAAACGTTTCTGTCATGATAGATTGAGTGATTGACTATACATCCTAGTGAAAATGTGACAATTTACCTAGTGCATACTAAGATCAGGTTGTTGAGAATGAATAGCATACCTGAATAGTGTTGTATCATGTAAGCGAGGGTTCTGGTGATTCCTGCCTGCTTGTAGAACTTAGGAGGTTAGGCATGATAATATTTGATTACAAATATTCTATTTCAATAAATTTGCCTTTCATAACTGATATTTGCATCAGCTTGACTTAATAAAATTGATTCTTAAAACAATTTCCGTTAAACTTCTTCTTAGATAATGAGCTGTCTCTCCGTGGTGTGTGATATGGAGAAAGTGGCTGCGGTATATCAGGATGTGTTTGGCGAGCCTCTGGACAATGTAGAGGCGATTTACAGACATATGCCCGGATATGGATTCCGGACAGAGTGAGTGAAACAAAATCGTACCCCCCCCCCCCCCCCTCGACCCTGTGGCTTTGGGAAATGTAGTGAATCTCCTGATCATAAATAGGAGATTATGATATGCCATACCACGTTAGTGGTGTTACAGCACGCGTGAACAGCTTCGCTTGAATGTGTTTTAGCAATGGTGTCCAGCACAAATTACGATCCAGTTTGAAATCTGATTTTTGAGTATGGGGTGGAACTGGTTCGAATATATCATCTCAATGAATGACCTAAATGTTCAAAATACAAAAATGCATCAAAACCGACATGGAATCTGAGCTGAAATGGTCTTGGATGGTTTGTTTAAAGTTTTCGCCTCTCCAGTAAAATTTACTTCCTGGGAAATGGCCTATATTGTATCATCTCAGTCTAATTTGCTTCGTTTCCTTTTTCTTTTCTCTAACAAGTGTGCCCACGTCTCTGGGTTCAAAATATACAGGCACATCGAGAGCTCAGTTAGTACCATACTAGTCTTTGGAACTCTGGTTTTAATCTCCAATGGATTATGTATAAAGTATTTTCTTATCTTATCTCATCTCATCTCATCTCATCTCATCTCATTACAACTCTAGCTGAATGAGTAAAATACTGAAGCTACCAAAGGCTTGACCATTAGTGAGATCGAGAGAGGGGCGGTATCTTCATACTTTATTTTGCTGATCATGTGATATATATTTTGTATATAAATGATTGTCTTTTGCAGCTGTGTGTGTTTACATATTTACCTATTGAAATTTTAAGCATGATAGTCATTGAACGTGTGTCTGACGAAGACACAACGTTCGGTTCATATTCCCTGCGTCGTTTCGGATGCTTTTTTGCTCAAATATTTTGTAAATTCACAGAGGTCCTGAGATCGAATTGATTGACATAAGCAACAGCATGGAAAAGATCGTTAATAACGTCAATCAAACCGTACTGGACGTCATGGAACTTTTGCCAAATATAAATATGAAGGCCAGAAGAAGGGAAACAGACCAAGTGAACAAGGAGATGTTTAGATCCAATAATGCTGCACAGACTCGTAAACTTGCTTCCAGTAAACAGTGTAAAGGTTAGTGAAACTCGTTCAACACTAAAACATCACTGTTTGTCATGAAAATCTTTTGATTCGATTTACACTGTACCTTCAGATTTTAAATACATGACAATCCTGATTTGTCTTTTCAAGCTAAATATTTTTTTCAACCTCATAGGTTGATGTAAACGGGCACTTCTCTTCGGCACGGGTAACATTTTCTGTACGTCTATCTGAGGTTAAAAATAAATATATTTACCTGCACATTTCTGGAACATAATATTTCAGTATGGTTTTTGTTTTACTTTCTTTGGTTCAAACAAGAATAACTCCCTTTTAAACACATGGTAATTGGAAATGTCCAAAATTGTTTTAAAATGCGCACAAGCAGGGGTAGCTATACCAAAGGAGAGAAAAAATATATCAACTTTCACTTTCTCCTTCTTTCCGGTCAAATATACATATTATACAGGATGATTAAAAAAGAATACTCCCAAACCATCATATGATGTTTCAAATACAAAAACCAATAGAAAACAACTCCAGCTTGGACATATTATGCGTGTACACACCTTCAAGTTTTTGTTTCATGTTTTATTAGTTCTCAAAGTGGCTACCACTAGCAGCACGGACATCATTAAGCCGATACGAGAATTCCCCCAAAACGCGCCTCAGGATGTCTGAGTCCTTCTTCTCTGTTTTATATATATTTTTGAATAAGTGTTTTACGGCTTTCTCACCTGCATAAGGTCATATAAGCGCGCTGGACACATTAAACATTTTCAGTTGGTATTAAATTTAGAATTTATCACAGGTGGCGGCCGAAGCCTAATCTAATCGATTTTAGATCACCAAGGGATCTTTAACGTGCGCAACTTGCACCCGGGACCTCCGAGATTTATCGCCCTTGTCCCAGGAGGCTAGGTGTAGATCTTTCCTACCAGAAGATCAGGCGTGTGGTTGAAAGACAACAGTTAGAAGAGGGGGCAAAGGAGGTGGAGACGAAAGCAGACGACAGAACATTGTTGGAGAGCAGGAAAGAAGGTGAAATGAGAAAATTTCAGAGAAGAAAAATTTTCCGTCCCAACCTGGATTTGAATTCGGGACTTTTGAATGAGAGGCGAACACTTTAACCTCTTGGCCACGAGATCCTCCCGTTTTTCAGTCCGCCGTGCTGATTATAGCTGTTATTCCACCTATCATGTCAATGATGTTTGCGGGAAGTGGTGGAACATAAACTTTGTCTTTAACATACACCCACAAGAAGTGGTCATTAACTTAACTGCAAGCAAATTTGAATGACTTCATTGTTCAATAATTATGGAGCACTGCCACATTGGCATCTCTGGGTTCAAGCCTATCTGTATGAAAACGTGCCACGGTGGTGGCTTGATAGAAGAGGTGCAAAAGACCTCGCTCTCTGCAGTTGGCCTGCCAGACCCCAGGACCGCACTCTGTGATTTCTTCTTTTTTTTTTTTTTTTTGGGGGGGGGGGTTTTTTTTTATGAGGTTGACAAATAAATAACAAATCAAGTGTACATGTAGTTTTTTTTTTAAGGGCGAAGTTTAGGTTAAAAAACTTCCAGCAAATCTTTATTTTGTTTTGGTAAGTGTTTTTCGGAGCTCGCAACTGCATAAGGTCATATGAGCACGGAGACACATTAAACTTTTTCAGTTGGTAGGAAATTTTTAATTACGCCAGGGTGGTGCCTCAAGCCAACACTTATTGATCAAATATCGATGGCATGTAGGGCCGAACAACAGCTACAATCTACACGGTGGACTGAGACATTCTGAGGCGCGTTTGGGATAAATTCTCATATCGGCTTGAAGTAGTTCCTGCTTGTGGTAGTCACACGGAGCACTTGTAAAACATGAAATGAAAATTTGAAAGTGTACAACACATGTATCCAAGCTAGAGTTTCTATTGTTTTTTGTTTTTGAAATATCACGTGATGATTTTGACATTCTTCTTGAATCATCCTGTATATCGCTCTTATCTGTTCTTCTTTGTGTTTCTTACGCTCTTATAATACCTCCAATCTTTGTCACTTACATAACATAATTGTGTTGCAAGTTCCGTAAAAACATTTACTAAAACAAATAAGAGATCTTGTACTTCTATCTGCAGATATGACAAGCCAAGCACCTGTCAAAGAAGCAAGCACACAATGGCTTCCAACTTGCGGAGCGTGCAGGCATACAGCCCGGCTCCTACAGTCTGTTAGTCCTACACACAGCCCCGTCACTCCCGTCTGGACCTCGACCCCACGGGATGGCATCGGCAAAGCTCTGACACTTCTAGACCGAGCCAAGAGGTGCGTGCGTGACCTCGATGGGGCATCTCTGTGCTCTGCGGCAGCCTCAGCATCCTCATCTATACCATCTCTGTCGTCAGAGCCTCTCGTATACTCTTCTTTAAATTGCACCAGCTCAAATCAACTACAACAAAGGTGTGCCTGTAAGACTGAAAACATCAATACATTAAGCCTATGCACTGCTGGTGTCACGAACCCTCAACCTCGAAGCCTGTACACTTGGGTAAACCCGAAACTCAAACACGGACAGGTTCAGAAGAACTCCAGCACAGGTAGTTTTGCAGAGAATATTGATAGAAAAGCCAGGTACAAGCCAAGGATTTTGTTCGGTTCTCCCGACGTTGCGCAGCAATATACACCACTGACTCCTTCTCCTGAATCAGAAGCCCTGCACATAGAGAACCTCAGCAAGTCATAATACGTTTTACCTTCACTAAACCTGAACTGTAAGCTTCTCGTTACCCCGCTGTGCAACCACCAAAGACGGTCACTCGGGGAGAGTATAACAGCGGCCAAGGCGCTCAGAACGCGAATCTCACCAAAGATTATTTTTTCTCAAGTTGTACTACAGAGCAAAACGTTTAAAGGAAATGTTTAAATAGTAAATATAAAATGTTTTGTTGAACTTCAAAGAAAATAATGATATAGTTGCCCACTTACTGAGGTAATTTACCAGCTCTCTAAAAATGTATGGCATTGTAAGTTTTTTTTTTTTCTCCTTACATATTTCACCAAACTCATATCAACTAAATTAACGTTGTGCCCCAAAGACTTTACTCGTCTTAACATTAATTAAGCCTATACACCGGCCAGCTCAGGCATATTGTGAGTTGCTGAGGTTCTTTATGTACAGGGCTCAGCTCGTTGGGCATACTGTGCCGTTGAATTGCGCAGGGAGATAAATGGATATCAGTGTTGTCTTTTTATAGGTCTTGTGAGAACAAATTCCAGGAAGAAAGGGCCATCGTCTAAAGTATTCAAATTGTATATATATATGCTCTATGTGATCACCAGATTTGAGACAAATGGTTTTATAGTAAAGTGAAGTTTACGAATGCAAGATGTTAATTTACACGGGCCAAGTTCTTTTAATTCAGAAGACTTGTTCTGGAAACTCATCAATTTGTTTTAGGAATCAAACTTGCCAGTTATGCTTTATGTTACACATTAATGTCTTGCTCTTTTGAGTAATGTATGAAAGGGGTTTGCATTTCTATTCTTGTGGACCATATTCTTTTAACTTAAGGTGATTTGGGTAAATTTACAAGCTGTAGTGGGTGCGTCTGGAGACGAAATTCTATTGTGATATTCTGCTACTGTGATGGCATGTTGTTCTTTCTGACTTAAACTTATTAGCACTCTGAGATAAGAGATTGTTGTGTAGCTTTCCTGTTATGTCAAGGCTCCTTTTCTTTTTTATCCATTCCTTTAAGGTAATGCATATGCTTAAAAAAACAAACACACGCACACACAAACACACAAATACACACACACGCACACACACAAACACACATGCACGCACAGACGAAGGCACACACGCACATAAATACGCAATTAAATACGCACATAAACACGCACATGAACACGAACATGAACACGAACATAGACACGAACACAAACACACAAACATAAACACACACACACACACATGTACACAAGCACACACACAGTAGAATATGTTTTTGACACTCACTCATTGTCCAGGAAAAAAGTGTTTATCTTAGACAGGTGCTCCCTTTAGACAGTGTTATTATGATATCAACAAAGGTCCTGGGGAAAGCAGAAGTGGTCGTTTGAATAGGTCGTGATTGTCTTGGACAGGTGCTCAATAGAGCTGGAACGACTATATTGTTTGTGTTTGTGTGTGTATGTGTGTGTAGATAGATAGATAGATAGATAGATAGATAGATAGATAGATAGATAGATAGATAGATAGATAGATAGATAGATAGATAGATAGATAGATAGATAGATAGATAGGGAGGGAGAGAGAGATATGGAGGGAGAGAGAGATATGGAGAGAGAGAGAGAGAGAGAGAGAGAGAGAGAGAGAGAGAGAGAGAGAGAGAGAGAGAGAGAGAGAGAGAGAGAGAGAGAGAGAGAGAGAGAGAGAGAGAGAGAGAGAGAGAAGTAACTTCAATAATATTATTATGTTTTTAAGGACTATGCAATGATGTTATTGGGGAGAATTTTTTATTGTCTCTCTTGTATTCAGAATTTACATCTCACTGGTCCTTGCAAGTTTAAGTTTGTAGCTTTAGTTGAAATTAACGTCCACGTACCAGGTTTAGAAAAAATTGTTTTCAAAGTTTTCATCTAATCCTGTTGCTAACACGGATTTTAAAGAATGTAGGCAACATTTACACACTTCTCTGCTCTTTGGGGGAAACAGTCAGAACAAGTGAATCTTGCTGCCTTATCAGTAACAGGACTAGATTAGACACTTTTAAATGTGACAATGATCAGCGTTCATTTTCGAATGTTGAAGTTATTACTCATGTCCAATACTAACTCACCTTTTATTTAAATTTAATTTTCAGATATGAACATTATTTTTGTTTTGTTTTACTGTTTGTTTTGTCATCCTCAAGAACGTCATTTTATCCCTCCCTTCTTATCCATGAATAAAAAGAATGCCTTTAGTCCTCTTTGGCTTTTTGTAAACCTTCTTTTACTGTGTGGTTGTTCAGAAAAGAGTGATTAATGGAAATAATATTTAAGGTTCCAATTGCAAAACTATGATCTATGACAACAAAATCCGACTCCAAATGGGTATTTCGTGTTTTTTCCTCAGTATGAAAGGAATGACACAGGGCTTTTTCTTGACAAATTTTTAAGAACAGACAGACAGAGAGACATACAGACGGACAGACGGACAGACGGACAGACGGACAGACGGACAGACGGACAGACGGACAGACGGACAGACGGACTGACGAACTGACAGACGGACTGACGAACTGACAGACGGACTGACGAACTGACAGACGGACATACTGCACGCAGGAGACACGAGTTCGATTCCCCAACGAGAAAAAATGGCGCCGGTTCAGTAAGGTGTGAAACCACACAACGGTTGCAGTCTACCGTAAGCCCGCCACATGGACCAGGGTCTACTGCAAGTTACTGTAACTTCCTTGGTCTACTGCGATCTGGGCGGGTCACGCGTAGCGCAAGTCTCACCTGATTGGTCACGGTTACCACAGCGCTGGGGACATTATGACCAATGGTGGTGGGTGGCGCTACACGATTGTGCTGTATGTGTGGGTGTGGGTTGATTGCTTTGTGTTGCTTTGTCGTGTACGTCAAAGAATTTCGCTGTAATTAAAGACTAAGATTAACAAGTCAGTGACCACAGCAAGTAACCAGACAGGAGTATTTTCAAGAAAGCTGTTGTTGTGATTGTTTGTTGTTTTTTTCAAGG